CCCCAAAACCCCAAAACCCCAAAACCCCTACAGTAAAATACGTTCGAATAATTCTAGAATAATTTTTATTGAAATATATTTAGAATTGGAGGACCATTTTTTCATTAGGTCCCCAGAAAAACCACAAGTAAAATAATCCAAATTATTTGCATTTCCTTCAGCTTGATATTTTAGATTTTTTCCTGGAAACAACCTCAGCCTGAGATTCACTTACTGATTGAGTTTTTTCCACATTAAGTGATTTTTTCTGGCTATCTAACATAGAGCCAATATAGGATCCTTTGCGAAGTCTGATATCTGTGCCTCTTAAGGCCCTTTTTTCCAGCTCCCTTGGCATAGGTTTGAAAGTAAAGAACAAAGTGGTAATGTTAAACAGTACTCCTAAACCACCGACTACTATATTGAAAATAAGATAGGTGTTCTTCCCGTAAATCCAAGCTTCAATGATTTCGAATACGAAAGCACCAATAGCTTATCCTAAGTTGTCTATTGAATATGGTTAAGAATTATTATCAAATTCGAATCCAAGCATTTCAGAGGTATGCGTACAATTAGCACTATCAGCAAATCCCCAAACAAAAGTCATTAGGAAGGCTAGCCAAGAGTATTCATAGATTACTATATATATTATGGCAATAGCCGATTGTATTATTATCATTACAATATTGGCAACCGTTGCCCATCTGTTTCCATATCTATCAATTATTTGACCTATAAATAGACCACCAACCATCTCACCCACTCCTAAGGAAACCATGGCGAACATGGATTTCATGAACTTATCTTGATCGTCATTTCCAGGAATTGTATCTGTGATGATTGGAACAAGAAGACCTGTATATACAGCCAAACTTATTCCAGTCCAGAACACTTGTGGGAGTAGAATCATCATTCTCTTTGAAAACATCAATTTAATAATGGCTCTAACTTCCTCCCAAAAAGGTAGTGAGTCATAATTATCACCATCATCTACAAAAGTGTTTCCAGTATTTGGCTGATTCTATTGATCGCCTGATCTTACTAGAAGAGAATTGACCTGAGAGTTAGCCTCATTGGGGTCAACTGCTCTTATCCTAGCTTGAAGCTTAGGTTTTCCAAGAGTTGCAAATATTATTATTGAGCTCGAAGATATTCCAGCCATGATCAAGTAGAATGACGATTATTAGAAATATTTGAGAACAAATGCAGCAATCAAATTGCCAAAGACTTGAGAGGACATGTAGTATGTCCAGAAGTAACTAAAGTAGAATCCTTTAGTTTTTTCTGTAGCACAATCTGA